CCCACATTCTAATACTGCATTTTTAAAACTATTCCAACCCTCTTCAACCCCCCCACTACTCATTTTTGCACTAGCCCCCCTTTTGCCAATAGTCGCTTATATCTCGCCCGAATTTCCCTCCTCCCTTAGTTTTTTACACTTTCACCTCCCTCTTACTTGTTGTTGCCCCCTTTCCCTCTTTTCCCATCTACCTCTTACTCTAACTGTAGCTACAACTAAATAATGATCTGATATTTTCAGTTGCCCTCTATTAAACATGTACATCCTGGACCCTCCCCATCAACCTTTTATCCACCAATACATAATCTAACAACTACTTTCATTACGTGCTACATCATCCCTTGTATTTTATTTATCTCTTTTTCATAAAAATGTATTATTATTACCAAATTTCTTTCTACACATAGCTCAATTAAAGGCTCCCCATTTACATTTCCCCCTGGCCCCCCAAAATTTACCTACTATCCCTCCATAACATTTTTACCCACTTTAGCATTGAAACCCCCAACCCCCATTTACTCTCACACTTGATGCAAAAATCCCCACGCATTCACTCACTTTTCCCCAGAATCTCTCTCTCTCCTCTACACTTCTCTCTTCTCCAGGTGCATACACGCTTACTATAACCACTTTTCACATCCAATCTTTATTTTACTCCACATAATCTTGAATTTATGCATTTGTAGTCCCTCTTTTCCTGCCATAGCTTATCCTTCAACATTATTGCTATCCTTCTTTAGCTCAAAACTTATTTGAAACCCCTGACCTAATCCCTTTTATTCCTCTCCATTGAAACTCTCCCACCCCTTCAGCTTTGTTTCACTAAATCCAGGACACCCAGCTTCTTCTCATTCATAAACATCCACAATCATCTCTTTCTTATCATCTGCACAACATCCACGCAAGACTTCCCACTTTGACAATTTTCTTCTTCTTATTCTTTTAGTAATCTTTACAGGGAAAAGGGGTTACTAGCCCATTGTTCCCGGCATTTTAGTTTACTTTTACAACACGCATGGCTTACGGAGGAAAGATTCTTATTCCACTTCCCCATGGATTAAAAGGAAAAGTAATAAGGGCCCAAAAACTATAAGATAAAATCAAAGAAAAACTCAGATGAGTAGTATAAATAAACATGTACATGTATGTGTAGTGTGACCTAAGTGTAAGTAGAAGTAGCAAGACGTACCCGTAATCTTGCATATTTATGAGACAGACAAAAGACACCCGCAATCCTACATCATGTAAAAAAAATTACAGGCTTTCGTTTTACACTCATTTGCAGGACGGTAGTACCACCCCGGGTGGTTGCTGTCTACCAACTACTACTTTTTTTTTAATTTTATATATTATATATATATATATATATTATATATATATATATATATATATAAAATATATATATATATATATATTTAATATATATAATGCAATAAGATCACAGTATACAGGTGATTTAAATTATGCAAAAAAAACCACTCTGAAAGAATAGAGAAATTCCAAGCGCTTTCGTGACTACTCACATTATCAAGGAACTATAAGTGAGCATCCAAGGAAGCAATATAAGGGGTCCGGCCAGCACCTCAATATCAGATCCGCGCGTTTCCCTGTTTAACCGTTGTGGGATCTGATAGTGAGGTGCTGGGCCCGGGCCCCTTATATAGCTTCCTTGGATGCTTCACTTTCATAGTTCCTTGATAATGTGAGTAGTCACGAAAGCGCTGGAATTTCTCTATTCTTTCAGATTGGTTGTTTTGCATATATATTATATAAAATATATATATATATATATATTTTATATATTTTATATTATATTTATTATTTATATATATATATATATTTTATATATTATATTATATATTTATATTAATATATTATATATATATATTTATTTTATATTATATATATTTTATATATATATTTATATATAATATATATATATATATATATATATATATATATATATATTTAAAATATATATATATATATATTTTATATATATATATATGCATGCATGCATGCATATGTGCAATAAGATCACAGTAAACAGGTGATTTCAAAATATGCAAAACAACCACTCTGAAAGAATAGAGAAATTCCAAGCGCTTTTGTGACTACTCACATTATCAAGGAACTATGAAAGTAAAGCATCCAAGGAAGCTATATAAGGGGTCTGGCCAGCACCTCACTATCAGATCCCACAACGGTTAAACACGTGATGCGCGGCTTTGTGGGCGAGGGGCTTGGACTTCCAGCAAGCCTGGATGAGCGTGTTAGATAGTGAATGGAGACGAATGATACTTGGGACCTGACGATCTGTTGGAGTGTGAGCAGGGTAATATTTAGTGAAGGGATTCAGGGAAACCGGTTATTTTCATATAGTCGGACTTGAGTCCTGGAAATGGGAAGTACAGTGCCTGCACTTTAAAGGAGGGGTTTGGGATATTGGCAGTTTGGAGGGATATGTTGTGTATCTTTATACGTATATGCTTCTAAACTGTTGTATTCTGAGCACCTCTGCAAAAGCAGTGATAATGTGTGAGTGTGGTGAAAGTGTTGAATGATGATGAAAGTATTTTCTTTTTGGGGATTTTCTTTCTTTTTTGGGTCACCCTGCCTCGGTGGGAGACGACCGACTTGTTGAAAAAAAAAAAAAATTATATATATAATATATAATATATATATTATATATATATATATATATATATATATATATATATATATATATATATTATATATATATATATATATATATATTGCAAAACAACCATGGGGGGAGTAGTATATATTTTTAACAAATTGGCCGTCTCCCACTGAGGCAGGGTGACCCAAAAAGAAAGAAAAAATCCCCCCAAAGAAAAATACTTTCATCATCATTCAACAATTTCAGCTCACTCATACATAATCACTGTTTTTGCAGAGGTGCCCAGAACACAAGTTTAGAAGCATATACGTACATATAAAAATACACAACATATCCCTCCAAACTGCCAATATCCCAAATCCCTCCTTTAAAGTGCAGGCCTTGTACTTCCCATTTCCAGTACTCAAGTCTGGCTATATAAAAATCACCGGTTTCCCTGAATCCCTTCACTAAATATTACCCTGCTCACACTCCAACAACTCGTCAGGTCCCAAATACCATTCGTCTTCATTCACTCCTATCTAACACACTCACGCATGCTTGCTGAAAGTCCAAACCCCTCGCCCACAAAACCTCCTTTACCTCCCCCTCCAACCTTTTCGAGAATGACCCCTACCCCACCTTCCTTACCCTACAGATTTATATGCTCTCCATGTCATTCTACTTTGATTCATTCTACTTTGACCAAACCACCTCAACGATCCCTCTTCAGCCCTCTGACTAATACTTTTATTAACTCCACACCTCCTAATTTCCACACACTGAATTCTCTGCTTAATATTTACACCACACATTGCCCTTAGACAGGACATCTCCACTGCCTCCAACTGCCTCCTCAGTGCAGCATTTACAAACCAAGCTTCACACTCATATAAGAGTGTTGGTACCACTATACTTTCATACATTCCCTTCTTTTCCTCCATAGGTAATGTTTTTTTGTTCTCCACATGTACCTCAGTGCACCACTCACCTTTTTTCCTTCATCAGTTCTGTGGTTAACCTCATCCTTCATACATCCATCCGCTGACACATCAACTCCCAAATATCTGGAAACATTCACTTCTTCCATACTCCTCCTCTTCAACTTGTTATCCAATTTTTCTTTATCTAAATCATTTGATACCCTCATCAGCTTACTCTTTTCTATGTTCACTTTCAACTTTTTACCTTTACACACACTCCCAAACTCGTCCTCTGACTTTTGCAAAAAGTAACTGTATCAATTCCCATTTTGTATTTGATTCCCTATAATTTAATCCCACCCCTCTCCCCAACACCCTGGTATTTACTTCTTTTACAACCCCATCTATAAATATATTAAACAACCATGGTGACATTACACATCCCTGTCTAAGACCCACCTTTACCGGGAAGTAGTCTCCCTCTCTTCTACACACCTTAACCTGAGCCTCACTATCCTCATAAAAACTCTTTACAGCATTTAGTAACTTACCACCTATTCCATATACACCTACCATCCGACTTATGATGGAGTTTGGTTCCGAGAAACTGGTCGTGAGTCGAAATGGACGTAAGTCGAACTTTACTACTGAATATCAATATTACATTTTTGTAATGACTTTATTTTATTGTTTTATTTTGGTATTTCATGTTTTACTTTACTTTTTATGCTGTTAGTACTGTATTTCATACTGTAAGGTTTATGATAAACACTGTGTACAACACAAACACTTGTTTATTTCCCAGAAATTTGGCATAAAAAACACGGTCGTAAGTCGAGTGGTCGTATGTCGAGCAGGTCGTAAGTCGGATGGTAGGTGTATTTGCAACATCTGCCACATTGCTCCCCCATCCACTCTATCATATATCTTTTCTAAATCCATAAATGCAATGAAAACTTCCCGACCTTTATCTAAATGGTCTAAATACTGTTCACATATATATACACACATATACGTACATACACATGTACATACATACATACATACATATACAGTGGTACCTCGAGTTACAAACTTAATTCATTCCAGAAGGCTGTTCGAGTGCTAATACCTAATGAATTAATTCCGATAAGGAATATTGTAAATTAGATTAGTTCTTTTTCAGACCCCAAAAATACACTTACAAAAGCACTTACAAAAATACACTTACATAATTTTTTCGAGTTGGGAGCTGTTCAAAACTTGAGGTACCACTTTTTTTTTTTTTTTTTTTTTTTCTTACTCGGCTGTTTCCCACTGAGGCAGGGCAATCCAAAAAAAAAAGAGAAAGAGATAAAATATAGCTCATAATCTTGGTAAAAGAAATTATAAGACTTTCTTCTTTTGTATAATGTATATATAAATTATTTCTATTGCAGGATATGTAATTGATACATAAATTATTTTTATTGCAGGATAACATGATAGACTTAATTTTGGCAGTCCGAGATCCTGTTGAATGGCACAAGACAAATCTGGCTCTTAACCCAAAACACTACTCTTCTCTTCGGTTTGGTGGACCTCATTTCATAGCCAGTGTCCAGGAAAATTGGGGTGCTAAAATATATTTTAATACATTAATCCCAACACATGAAGGGGTAAGTTTTGTTATTTACTACAGGGTAATGTATGAGGGGAAAAATACATAAATCATAGTCTCTTTCTGCTGCATGTATAGTATTAGTGATTCTCAAAAAAAAAAAAAAAGGATTAAAGATTAAGGATTTTATTTCTTTGCAGAATTGACGTGTAATTACAATTCTGAGTTGAGTACAAAGAAAGCCACCATCATGCCAGGGCATTTTGGGCAAACTAATCCTAGTACATAATAACTACTTAAGTCTAGACAAGATAAGAATGGTTAACTTTTTTTTATAAATCTTTATTTGATCTTAATACTAATGCAAGGTAGTCAGGTTGAAGGTTTATATGAATAATAATCTTGAAGTTGCACATAATAAAAACAGTATTACAATTAATGGCTCAAAGTAATATTTTATGGATTGGCAGATGTTTTAATAGACTAGAGGTCATATAATATTTGGGAGAGTTGCTTCAAACTGATTAGAAGTTATTTTGGTATTATGTAGATACTATACATTTTGATCCTGTATTCTGTAGTTTTCTGTTTACTAGTAAGCAGTACATTACTATACATGGTCTTTCTAATTTGGAGTTCTGCCAAATTCAGATTCTTGAAAATACTACAGTTGAACCTTGATTTAATAGACCTCAGTTTATAATTTTTTGGATTTAATGGCCAAAATTCATCATTTGATTAAAGTCCAGAAACAATGGACAAAGTTCTTTAAATCCAGAATTGTGTGCTATTATGATCATGGAAATTGGACTGTTGGCATTACCAGTCACTCTCTCCTCCCTTTTATCCCATTAATTCATGGGTTCACAGCAGTATAATCCTACGCGTTTAGCACTCCCCCATGATTATAATACGTAATTATAATCATGGGTTCACTATACAGAAAGATATGTATACGGTGGAACCTCGACTTAAGAGTTTAATCCGTTCCGTGACCGAACTCGTAACTCAGTTTGCTCGTATATCATATCAATTTTCCTCATTTAAATTAATTGAAATGCTATTAATCTGTTCCTGTGGAATTCCTGCTCTTGGAAGCAGGACAAAATACTTCAATATAAAGCTAATATCAACTCTTCGGCTTATTTATCTATCACAGTTCATCTAATATGACATAATAAACAATATAAATAACAGAGAAACATGATATATACTCTAGAATGAATAAAATGTGTCATTATGTGATGAGTTGATGAGTGGTGGTGGTGGCCATTGCTGCTCTTGCATTGACCATATCTTCCCATTCTGAAATTCGCTCATTATTTTTATTATTATTCATGTTAATTTAGGGAACTGGAGCACAGATTCAATTCCCTAAATTAATATTAATAATAATAATAATAATAATAAATAATTGTAGGAGGGGTGTTAATGTTGCAGTTTAAAAACTGTAGTGTAAAGCACCCTTCTGGCAAGACAGTGATGGAGTGAATGATGGTGAAAGTTTTTCTTTTTCGGGCCACCCTGCCTTGGTGGGAATCGGCCAGTGTGATAATAAAAAAATAATAATATAATAATTGTAATAATAATAATGAGGACTGTCAGAACACCACTAGTTCGCGCAACGCACTGTTTACCTCGCTGTGGAAGCATTTTTGTCATGCTTTGCTTTCATTTTGTAGTTATTTGGCCGAATTTCTTTTTCTACCCATGGGTCCTAAGAAGGCATCAAATCAAATCAAAGTTTATTCTCTATAAGGATTATAATGCGGGGTTTACAGATTTTGGTTATTGTGTACTTTACATGTAATAAAATACTAATTACAGAGGGGGCCACTAGAACACCTAGCAAGGCTAGGCATTTCGGGCAAACTTAGAATAATTCTTAACCCTAAATTATTATAAATTGTGGAGTAAGTTGACTAAATACTAAGTGACTAAATACTAGTTTGTGAGTTTAGCAATGTGAATGCTTTTGTTTTGGCACAATACATAGTTTCTATATTGGAGTATCACAGGCAAACTTATGACTAGTTAGGAATCATTATTATAAGATTAAGATACGTATTTCTGTGCTTATAGTCAAATGGGTGAGTGAGTGAGTGTAAGTGTGAACCGCCAGGTAGTTTTTATGTAGTTATCAGGGGGATAAGATGTTTTCTGACGGTGGTTTTGAAGGTGATGAATGTGTCTGAAGTTCTAGAGTTTTCAGGTAGGGTGTTCCAGATTTTAGGTCCTTTGACATACATTGAATTTTTGTAAAGGCTTAGTCTGACACGGGGAATGTCGTAGAGATGTTTGTGTCTGGTGTTATGCCCGTGGGTCCTGTCACAACTATCAAGAAAGCATTTTAGGTCAAGGTTAATATTGGAATTTAGGCTCCTGTATATGTAGATTGCACAGTAGTAAGTGTGGATGTTCTGAACAGGGAGTAAGTGTAGATCTATGAAGAGTGGGGGTGGGGGAGGTGTTGCCAGGGATGGGATTTAGTGATTATTCTTACTGCGGCTTTTTGTTGAGTTATTATTGGCTTTAGGTGTGTTGCTGCAGTTGATCCTCAAGCACAAATAGCATAGGTGAGGTATGGATAAATGAGTGAATGGTATAGTGTGAGAAGGGCATTTTGCGGCACGTAGTATTGTATCTTGGAGAGGATCCCAACTGTTTTGGATACTTTTTTTGATATGTGTTGGATATGGGTGCTGAAATTCTGGTTGTTGTCGAGGTATAGGCCTAGGAATTTGCCCTCATTTTGTCTGACCATTAGAGTGCTGTCAATCTTAATGTTAAGTTGTGCAGCACCTGCTCTGCTACCAAACATAATATGTATAGTAGGTTTTGTCAGTGTTAAGTGTAAGTTTATTGGCTGTCATCCAAGTTGATATTTTGAGCAGCTCCTCATTAACAATGGTGTTGAGGGTGGCAAGATTAAGGTGAGAGATGACATAAGTCGTGTTGTCAGCAAAGAGAGTGGGTTTCAGGTGTTGGGATACGTTTGGAAGATCATTGATGTAAATGAGGAAGAGCAGGGGTCCAAGGACACTTCCCTGCAGAACTCCAGTATCAAGTGGCCATGTTGATGATGCTGTGTATTTAATGGTGACATACTGATACCTATTAGTAAGGTAGGATTTGAAATATGCAAGCGCATGGCCTCTTATACCATAATGATCAAGTTTGTGGAGTAGGATGCTGTGGTCTACTGTGTCAAAAGCTTTTCTTAGGTCAATAAAAATTCCTAGCAGATGATTTCCATGGAATGAAAGCATGAAATCATAGATAAGCAAGCAAGGTGTGTGAGTTGTGGGTTGAGGGGGAAGCTCACTCATAACTCGGATGTTGGCTCGTAACTCAGAACAAAAATTCAACCGAGTGACAGCTCTTACCTTGAAAAACTTGTATGTTGGGACACTTGTAAGTCGAGGATCCATTGTATTATAGGTATTTTAATTTGGAAAATCTTTAATTCTGACTTTTTCAGATAGAGAATATTTTTATACATTTTGAATTTTAAATTTTTTCCTTGATTTGGAACACTTTGAAATTGTTTGTGATTTCTGAATGAGTAAGAAAATTCTAAATGTGAAGAAAGATTCTGTATACATAAAGAAAAACTTAGTTTGAACATTTTCTGATTTTGAATGAATTTTATATATAAAAAAAAAAGTAAGGATTTTAGAAGACTCAGTGTTGAAATTTGATAAAGAAGTTGTTTATGATGATTTTTTCACCAAAAATCCGCACTTAGGAGAGGAACATCAGGATGACATTTTGGTCATTCCTGGACTATTATCCACCTTGGACAATGATCCAAGATGAGCTGAAACATCATCCTAACGTTCCTCTCCTAAGTTCGTATTTTTGACGAATTGTTCCAGCCACTTTACTGTGACTTTATATTCTTTATAATAATCTTTTTTTTTATATATAAGTTTATAAATTTTATAAATTTATAAATTTTATGAATGTTATAAATTTATAAATTTTATAAATTCCAATAAGATCATAGTTACCTCACACCTTTGTACACATTACAGATGATAAAGTATGGGGTGATATCTCATACAAGCCTAATAACTGATCTGCTGGACTGGGATACCCTATATGTAGCTGGTCGCCTACACAAGCCTGTCCTCATGTTGTACCGTGGTATGTGCTACATTCATAACAAAGATCACCATCGCTGTTTCAGCTAATCAGCAGGATAAAAGCTTTTACAGTGCACACAATTATTTAATGTAGCTACAGAAACTAATCGATACAAATTCAGAAATTATGAAGTTGGTCACATTACTGTACTCTATTTTCTGCAGCTGCATACCAGTGTATGGAAGTGGTTCAACTGTAATAAAAAACAGCTCGTATAAGTAAGTCGATTGTAGAGTATTATATTTTTTTGTTGTAGCATTCTAGGTTAAGTACAGTACTATACATTGTAAAAGTTCTACTGTATTATGCTGTTCATGTAACGTGAATTGTTTGGTACCCCATATGGTTGGCAATATTGCTTAACATTAATGAATTGATAATTAGTTAGCAGATATAGAGATTTGTTTTGGCCATGGCATGGGTTTTGATTTCGTCAGTAGTGCTGTGTCCCCACAACATCTTAAGCTCACTGTTTTAAGAAAGTTTCCAATTGATCTGTTTCTTGTCTTCATCTTAAACTAAGTAATATATGAGAAAGGTAGCAAGTAGGTATGTACAGAGATACTGGTGGGGTTTTATTGACACTTTTTCCCAAAAATAGTGTTGTCAACAATAAGGCTCCAAATGTGAACAGAACTAGGACCTCAGAATATTGATTGAGGGTATTGATGTATGATTAGATTGTGTTGAAGCTGTCCCTGCAACGTGTCATTGAAAGTGATAACGAAACTCCTAAATTATTTTTGGAAAAGTGTTAGAATGGTTTAGAAGTTCTTATTAATTTCATGGCATCCAGAAAGGTGTAAACTCAACATCTCATTGAACAGTATCTGTTGCTTTAAAAAAAATCAGCTATATATGTTTTAAATTCTTCTAAAAATTACCCAACCCCTTAGTCTTTTCTTGGGTAGCCATCAAGGGCACAAACACTTTACTGTACCTGATGTACATCAAAGTCCTGTTGCAACCACTGCACCTCATTTTAATGTGCATAAAGTTTTAAAAAATAATGTGTAAACTGTAATTTAAACTCAAATTCTGTAATGAACTATATACATGTAGTAGTAAAATAATATGTTAATCATATCCTGCAGGGTCTTGACCTCATTGTTTCATGATAAACAAATTTCTCTTTATATTCATTGTGGATAGGGCATTGACATGTCCAGTATTCACAAATTATGAAGACCTGGAGACTCCTTAATTCCCAGCTTCAACAAGACATGAAAACGTAAACGGACAACAAATATGCACAGTTCAATACTGTACCTAGCATTAAATCCTAACTTTTTTTCTACTTACAGCCTCTGAAGATGATGAACTACATAGTGCGCTGAAAATTAACCTGTATGCAGCCATTCACACAGCTCTTCTTTTATTGCCTGAGTCATTTAGTGAGGATCAGCTTTATTTGGCACTAGCTGGCCTCTCATATACAGGTCAGTTGAGCAATATAAGTTTTAGTGTGTAAACATGTTAGATTAACAGATATCACATTTTCACTAAATTTATGTATGTTTTGACCTGTAAAATGAGAATTATTCTTGAAATGCTTGAGATAAGGATGATTATATGACACCAACTTTATTTCTAACAAACCAGCAATTTTTGCTGAGAATAACAAGTTTGAAAATGAGATTAATAAGTTAAAAAGCCTTAGGAATGAATGGATTTGGCAGTTAAAAATAGGAGAGGAGAGTTATTAGATGGAGAGTTGGAAGTATTGGGAAGATGGAGGGAATATTTTGAGAAACTTAAATGTTGAAGAAGATAGAGAAGCTGTGATTTTGTGCATTGGGCAGAGAGGTATAACATCTTGTAGGAGTGAGGAAGAGCCAGTTGTGAGTGTGAGGAAGGTGCATGAGGCAGTGGGTAGAATAAAAGTGGGTAAAGCAGCTGGGATTGATGGGATAAAGACAAATGCTAATAAAAGGTGGTGATACAGTTTTGGAATGGTTGGTGCTTTTGTTTAATAAATGTATGGAAGAGGGGAAGGTACCTAGGGATTTGCAGAGAGCATGAAGGGTAGGGGATGTGTAGACCAAGTGTTTACAGTGAAGCATATAGGTGAACAGTATTTAGATAAGGGTAAAGAGGTTTTCATTGCATTTATGGATTTTGAAAAGGCATATGATAGGGCGGATAGGAGAGCAGTGTGGCAGATGTTGCAAATGTATGGGCTTTATGGTAGGTTACCGAAAGCAGTGAAAAGTTTTTATGAGGATAGTGAGGCTCAGTATGTAGGAGAGAGGGAGATTGTTCCCAGGTAAAAGTAGGCCTAAGACAGGGATGTGTAATGTCACCATGGTTATTCAATATATTTATAGATTGCTCGGGTCTTGGAAAGCGGCGTGGGATTAAGAGATAAAGAATCTAACATACAGTGGGAGTTGTCACAGTTGCTTTTTGCTGATCATGCTATACTTTTGGGAAATTCTGAAGAGAAGTTGCAGAGGTTGATGAATGAATTTGGAAGGATATGTAAAAGAAGAAAATTAAAAGTGAATGTAGAAAGAGCAAAATGATGTGGATAACAAAAAATTTAGGTACTGAAAGATTGGATATCAGATTAGAGGGAGGATGTGAATGTATTCAGATACTTGGGAGTGGACTTGGCAGCAGATGGGTTTGTGAAAGACAAAGTGAATCATAGAACTGATGAGGGTAGAAAGGTGAGTGGAACACTGAGGAGTCTGTGGAGACAAAGAACATTATGCATGGAAGCAAAAAGGGGAATGTATGAGAGTATAGTGGTACCAACACTTTTATTTTTTTTTTCAGCAAACTGGCCGTATCCCACCAAGGCAGGGTGGCCCAAAAAGAAAAACGAAAGTTTCTCTTTTTTTTTTTTTTCAACAAACCGGCCATATCCCACCAAGGCAGGGTGGCCCAAAAAGAAAAGCTAAAGTTTCTCTTTTTAAATTTAGTAATTTATACAAGAGAAGGGGTTACTAGCCCCTTGCTCCCGGCATTTTAGTCGCCTCTTACAACACACATGGCTTACGGAGGAAGAATTCTGTTCCACTTCCCCATGGAGATAAGAGGAAATAAACAAGAACTAGAAAGAAAATAGCAGAAAACCCAGAGGGGTGTGTATGTATATGTTTGTATATGTATGCGTAGTGTGACCTAAGTGTAAGTAGAAGTAGCAAGACGTACCTGAAATCTTGCATGTTTATGAGACAGAAAAAAGGACACCAGTAATCCTACCATCATGTAAAACAATTACAGGCTTTCGTTTTACACTCGCCGCTTTTATATGAGTATGAAAAATGGGTGGTGAATGTTGCAACAAGGAGAAGGCTGGAGGCAGTGGAGATGTCGTGTCTGAGGCAATGTGGGGTGTAAATATAATGCAGAGAATCCGTAGCTTGGAGATTAGAAGGATATGCGAGGTTTCTAAAAGTATTATCCAGAGAACAGAGGAAGGGTTGTTGAGGTGATTTGGACACTTGGAGAGGATGGAACAAAATAGAGGAGGTAGTAGGTTGGTAGACAGCAATCACCCAGAGAGGTACTACTGTCCTGCCAAATGAGTGTAAAATGGAAGCCTTTAATTGTTTTACATGATGGTACGATTGCTGGTGTCTTTTTTCTGTTTCATAAACATGCAAGATTTCAGGTACGTCTTGCTACTTTTTCTTACACTTAGGTCACACTACACATACATGTACAAGCATATACAGGTCTCCCTCAACATTCGCATTTTCAGCTTTCGCGGGCTTCACACATTCACGAATTCCCAACCGCCAAATTCCCAGCCACCAAATTCCCAGCCGCTAAATCATATTCAAGTTTCCCGCTGCCTGCGAGTCCCTACTACCCTCCCACCGACCCCCGCAACTGGCAGCCAGCCCTCCCACCACTCAGTGTGGTGAGTGTTTTGTTTGTTCATTATTTGCTATTAAACTACAGTATAAATAATGTAAACCCATTCATGACTGCATATTGGAATGGCTATTCGGACAGGTATTAGACGGTGACATCATGTGTTTACTCTTGAACACAGCAAAGAATCAAACATTTCTGCTACTGCTAATAATAACAATAGTAATAATAATAATAATAAAAATAATAATAATAATAATAATAAATACGATATAATTGAAGAAGGAAGTTGTACAAAAATACGAGGGAGTGGTTGACACATCGTCAGTGTGGCTTTGTTTATGCTGGAGTGAGCATTAGTCTCCCTGCTCCTCCAAACATTTCACAATAATTCATTGTGTTTGGTGCTTGTAGATTGAGTGTGACTGGAGTGGTAGAGGCAGTGGTTGAGGCAGCGATTGAGGCAGCGATTGAGGCAGTGGGTGAGGCAGCTGTTGAGGCTGCTGTTGAGGCAGCGATTGAGGCAGTGGGTGAGGCAGTGGTTGAGGCAGCGATTGAGGCAGTGGGTGAGGCAGCTGTTGAGGCAGCGATTGAGGCAGTGGGTGAGGCAGCGATTGAGGCAGCTGTTGAGGCAGCGATTGAGGCAGTGGGTGAGGCAGCTGTTGAGGCAGCAATTGAGGCAGTGGGTGAGGCAGCTGTTGAGACAGCAATTGAGGCAGTGGTTGAGGCAGCTGTTGAGGCAGCAATTGAGGCAGTGGGTGAGGCAGCTGTTGAGGCAGCGATTGAGGCAGTGGTTGAGGCAGCTGTTGAGGCAGCAATTGAGGCAGTGGGTGAAGCAGCTGTTGAGGCAGCGATTGAGGCAGTGGGTGAGGCAGCTGTTGAGGCAGCGATTGAGGCAGTGGGTGAGGCAGCTGTTGAGGCAGCGATTGAGGCAGTGGGTGAGGCAGCTGTTGAGGCAGCGATTGAGGCAGTGGGTGAGGCAGCTGTTGAGGCAGCGATTGAGGCAGTGGTTGAGGCAGCTGTTGAGGCAGCGATTGAGGCAGTGGTTGAGGCAGCTGTTGAGGCAGTGGTATTTAATAACATACATGTTATTAATAATAATAATACATGTTGTTAATAATATGTACTATTATTATTTATAACATATATATTATTAAATACCACTGCCTCAACTGCTGAATTATTGTGAAATGTTTGGAAGAGCAGGGAGACTAATGCTCACTCCAGCATAAACAAAGCCACACTGACCATGTGTCAACCATTCCCGCATATTTTTGTACAATTTCCTTCTTCAATTATATCGTATTATTATTATTATTATTATTATTATTATTATTATTCTTGTTATTGTTATTGTTATTGTTATTATTAGCAGAAGCAGAAATGTTTGATTCTTTGCTGTGTTCAAGAGTAAACACATGATGTCACCGTCCAATACCTGGCCGAATAGCCATTCCAATATGCGGTCATGAATGGGTTTACATTATTTATACTGTAGTTTAATAGCAAATAATGAACAAACAAAACACTCACCACACTGAGTGGTGGGAGGGCTGACTGCCAGTTGCGGGGGTCGGAGGGAGGGTAGTAGGGACTCGCAGTGGTGGAGGCATTGGTGGAGGCAGTGGTGGAGTCTGTGGTATTTAATAACATACATGTTAGTAAAGCATAACATGTATATATTTAGTACAATTTACGATGTTTTCATGTATTTTATGATTGTTCATGGCTCAACAAGTTAAGGAAGCAGTATTGTATTATATTTCCCTACAATATATTGGGGCACCAAACATTCACGGTTTTTCAACATTCGCGAGGCTCTTGATCCCCTAACCCTCGCGAATGTTGAGGGAGACCTGTATATACACACCCCTCTGGGTTTTCTTCTATTTTCTTTCTAGTTCTTGTTCTTGTTTATTTTCTCTTATCTCCATGGGGATGTGGAACAGAATTCTTCCCCCGTAAGCCATGCATGTTGCAAGAGGCGACTAAAATGCCGGGAGCAAGGCGCTAGTAACCCCTTCTCCTGTATATATTACTGAATTTAAAAGGCGAAATTTTCATTTTTCCTTTTGGGCCACCCTGCCTCGGTGGGATGCAGCTGGTGCGTTGAAAGAAGAAGAATAACATATATATATCTGACCAGTATTCATACTGAAATAATGTACAGTGGACCCCCGCCTTACGATGGCATCGCGTTACGTTAAATCCGCCATACGATACATTTGAACGCAAAAATTTTTCCTCGCCTCATGAGATTTGTCCCGGACGCATCCCACGTGTGGCCTCAGCGCCAGTGTTTACAAGCCGGCCAGGGCGGTCGCATCCATGCATACATTCGGTACATTTCACCTTATCCCTGTGTTTTTTGTACTTGTAACTGCAAAATAAGTCACCATAGGCCCCAAGAAAGCTTCTAGTGCCAACCCTGTGGTAAAAAGGGTGAGAATTAGTATGGAAATTAAGAAAGATTTTGAAGGGTTTTGGGCTAACCCTGAGAAGCCTATGCCAGTTGTGGAATCCATTGTGCCTACTTCAAAGATTAAGGAAATGTGTGCAAAGTGGGTTGAACTGCAAACCTTTATGGATGAAAAGCACCCTAACACAGCTATTGCATGCCGTGCTGGTGACTATTACAAAGACAATGTTGTGGCCCATTTTAGGCAAATCTTAAAGGAATGGGAGGTACAGACCTCTATGGACAGATTTGTTGTGCGACAGAGGTCCAGTGGCTCAAGCTGGTTCTAGTGGCATTAAAAGAAGGGAAGTAACCCCAGAAAAGGACTTGCTACCTCAGGCCCTAATGGAAGGGGCTTCCCCTTCTAAACAATAACTTCCACACTCTCCCCTCCTCCCATCCCATCAATCATCATCAGATCTTCAATAAAGGTAAGTGTCATGTATTCTATTCTTAGTAGAGTAGTAATTGTGCATGTCTTCTTTAGTTTGTGTGTATTAAAATTAATATTTCATGTGGTAAAATTTTTTTTTTTTTCATACTTTGGGGTGTCTTGCATGGATTAATTTGATTTCCATTATTTCTTATGGGGAAAATTAATTCGCCTTACGATAATTTTGGCTTACGATGAGCTCTCAGGAACGGATTAATATCGTAAGGCGGGGTCCACTGTATACTATTAGAGCTGATTTCCTCTATTCTGTTTTTCAATATACAGTACAATACTGTATAAACATTTAAAAATATACCAGAAATGTTATAAATGGTGCAAAGTTGACATTAAAACACTATCAAAGATGGTTGACACAAACTCATTACTATTATAGTATGCTCCTCACTTAACGACGAATTCATTTAACTACGTGGTCTTGCGAACGTATCTCCATCGTTAAGTGAGGAGAGGCTGTATTTGATAGTCTTAATTTTTAATTACTAGCAGCATGTTGCATTATTATTTCATTCCAGGCTGGACTGAAATGTCATTGTAAGTGCCTCTCTCCTATGTGTGGGCTATTTGTGTATTGTTCCAGTCATTGTATTGTGCCTTTTTGTTATTTATTCCATTTATTGCAAAAAAAAAAATCACTAATATTTTTATATATCAGGTGATTTTCGTATGCACGTAGGAGAAGACCAGAACAAGGTGAGAAATATAGTTCGAGCGCAAACACAGGAGTTTCGGAATCTCTATCTACCAGTTTTTAAGGAATTGGAAGAATATGTCTTGGTGGATCAATATAAGGGAATGGGAGAACAAGATACCTCACCACCAGCTCGACTCTATCACCTTTCAATGTTGCCTAAAACACTACAGGTAATAAAACACTTCAGATGGTCATTCAGTAGTATGGAAATCTGAATAAATTATTTTCAGTATTGATTCTGTTTTAGACAGCCTCTGAAAATGAAAAACCTAAAGGATTTGGGATGGACTGAATAATAGAAGACATTGCATTGATTGTTAGAAAATATTAAGTATAGAAATTCAGAAGAAATGTAGATCACAAGCTGAAACTTCTATTGAGTACTGTAAAAGATTTATATAATAAGCTTTATTTTTGTTCCAGTAACAAAATAAAAATATAATTAGATTTAAGTTGGCATTGTCCTTCAGATTTGTTTGCACTGTAATACAACACGATAATCTTAGGCATTCATTGTAATATATATATATATATATATATATATATTATATATATCTTTCTTTCTTTCTTTCAACACACCAGCCGTATCCCACCGAGGCAGGGTGGCCCAAAAGGAAAAACAAAAGTTTCTCCTTTTACATTTAGTAATATATACTAGCCTCTTGCTCCTGGCATTTTAGTCGCCTCTTACAACACGCATGGCTTACGGAGGAAGAATTCTGTTCCACTTCCCCATGGAGGTAAGAGGAAATAAACAAGAACAAGAACTAGAAAGAAAATAGAAGAAAACCCAAAGGGGTGTGTGTATATATATGCTTGTACATGTATGTGTAGTGTGACCTAAGTGTAAGTAGAAGTAGCAAGACATACCTGAAATCTTGCATGTGTATGAGACAGAAAAAAAAAAAAGACACCAGCAATCCTACCATCATGTAAAACAATTACAGGCTTCAGTTTTACACTCACTTGGCAGGACGGTAGTACCTCCCTGGGCGGTTGCTGTCTACCAACCTACTACCTAGGATATATATATATTCTAGGTAGTAGGTTTTCTTCTGTGGTCACTGTGCAGCATATAAAAAAAAATCCTGCAGCACACAGTGCATAATGAGAAAAAAAAACTCCGACCTTTTTTTTTTTTTAATTAAAATGCCGACTTTGTGGTCTACTTTTGTATAGAATTTACAGTTGTATTCTTGTTCTCATTAGATAGAATGGAAAACATATTATTGAAATAGAGGTATTTTGATTGGTTTTACTATAAAAAGAACCTTGAAATGGAGCTCAAAGTAGGGGAAATGTTTGATTTTTGCCAATGTTCAAAAGTAAACAAATGATGTCATTTTCCAATAAATGTCCAAGTAGCCATTCTGACATGCAGTCATGAATGGGTTGACATTATTTATACAATTATTACAGTATTGCAGTAGTCTGCATAACAGTAAATCATACCTTATATATTTATTTATCCTCTTTTTCATAAAATATGTATCACTTGTCACCAAACCTCTTTCTACACATAGCTCAATTAAAGGCTCCCCATTTTCATTTACCCCTGGTACCCCGGATTTACCTACTACTCTCTCCACAACATTTTTACCCACTTTAGCATTGAAATCCCCAGCCACAAGTACTCTCACACTTGGTTCAAAACTCCCCACACATTCACTCAACATTTCCCAAAATCTCTCTCTCTCCTCTACACTTCTCTCTTCTCCAGGTGCATATATGTTTATTATAACCCACTTTTCACATCCAATCTTTGTTTTACTCCACATAATCCTTGAATTAATGTATTTATATATACAGTGGAACCTCTACTTACTAGTGCTAGTTTTTCCAGATACGAGCAGCTGCTCGGTCAGTTTTTTGCTTCCAGACGCGAGCAAAATTTCCAGATGTGAGCGGGCCTCAAGGGAGGTTAATCGACACTGGTGAGGGGGCTCTTGCTCTTGATCTAGGGAATTGGATCTCGTTGTTTGTTGGACTATCTTATTGAAACTTGGGCAATGTATGATGAAAAGATGCTTCTTAACGTACACCAAAAATGAAAGAAATTGGACCATAAATAATGGAGTTCACTTCTCAGCCATTAGCCTCCCCTTAGCGTATTTTCGTATGGTTTTTATGGTTGTATTTTCATTTTATTTGGTCTCATGTGATAGAATGGAAGATATACTACAAAAATAAATATGAATTTAATTTGTTTCACGATGAAAAGTACCTTGAAATTGAGCTCAAAATAGCAGAAATGTTCAATTCTTTGGCGACATCAGTGGTAGACATCATGAGGTAGCAGTGGCAGACAACATGAAGCAGCAGTGGCAGATGACATGAAGCAACAGTGGCAGAGATTTTGAGGTAGCAGTGGCAGACAACATGAAGCAGCAGTGGCAGATATCATGAGGTAGCAGTGGCAGACAACATGAAACAGCAGTGGCAGACAACATGAAGCAGCAGTGGCAGACAACATGAGGTAGCAGTGGTAGACATCATGAGGTAGCAGTGGCAGACAGCATGAAGCAGCAGTGGTAGACAATGTGAAGCAACAGTGGCAGACATCATGAGGTAGCAGTGGCAGACAACATGAAGCAGCAGTGGCAGACATCATTAGGTAGCAGTGGCAGACAACATGAAGCAGCAGTGGCAGACAACATGAGGTAGCAGTGGCAGACAACATGAAGCAGCAGTGGCAGACAACATGAAGCAGCAGTGGCAGACATCATTAGGTAGCAGTGGCAGACAACATGAAACAGCAGTGGCAAAGTGTAGCATTAAGCGTGTAGCAATTAAATGTAGCATTAAGAGTGTAGCAATTAAGTGAAGCATTAAGAATGTAGCACTTATAAGTCACTCTGTCTGACTTTTTTGGGTTATCCTAGGTTCTCTACACATGTAGTCAGGAGCAGGAATGGCCGCTGTGGTGGCCTTATAAACCCCAATAACAATGGCTGCTGTTACCACCACTAGCCACATACCTAATGACATGTATTTTATTCATTCTAGTGTATATATGTTTCTATGTTATTAATATTGTTTATTATGTCATATTACATGAATTGTGATAGATAAATAAGCTGTAGAGTTGATATTAGGGAAATTATTAAAGTATTTTCTCGTGCCTGGAATTCCACTGGAAGGAATTAATTACATTTCAATTAATTTAAATGAGGAAAATTGACTCTGCAAACGAGCAAGGTCATGGAATGGATTAAACTCGTAAGTAGAGGTTCCACTGTGTGTGTATATATAAATTTAGTAATTTATACAAGAGAAAGGATTACTAGCCCCTAGCCCCCGGCATTTTAGTCGCCTCTTACAACACGCATAGCTTACGGAGGAAGAATTCTGTTCCACTTCCCCATGGAGGTAAGAGGAAATAAACAAGAACAAGAACTAGTAAGAAAATGGAAGAAAACCCAGAGGGGTGTGTATATATATGCTTGTACATGTATGTGTAGTGTGACCTAAGTGTAAGTAGAAGTAGCAAGATGTACCTGAAACCTTGCATGTTCATGAGACAGAAAAATGGACACCAGCAATCCTACCATCATGTAAAACAATTGCAGGCTTTCGTTTTACACTCACTTGGCAGGATGGTAGTACCTCCCTGGGCAGTTGCTGTCTACCAACCTACTACCTATAATGTATATATATATATTTTTTTTTTTCAGTGAACTGGCCATATTCCACAGAGGCAGAATGATCTAAAAATAAAAATAAAAGTTACTCTTTTTAAATTTAGTAATGTATACAGAAGGTGTTACTAGCCTCTTGCTCCCACTGTATGTATACAGTAAACCGTCATTTAACACGGTAATTACGTGCCTGAAAATGCCGTGTTAGGTAAAACTGTGTTAGATGAACTGAAAAACTTATGGGAAAAATAGGGTTACATTCCTCCGAACCCAAAAAAAGCCAAACAACTTTTTTTTTTTTTAGGTCTATCATCTTACAAAATGTGAATATGTAATTGTAATTCATTGTTGTGATGTATTATGCTATTTTTACTGCTTAAAACTACAAATGTAACAGAAATAATAGTATTTCTTACCTTAAATTGTGGGTGCTCGTATTTATGGACGATTGTGAAGAGAGTGGAGAGTTATGTTGTGGTCCTACTGGGCTGAGATGGATGGTAGAGGTTCTGGTACTGAAGTGGATGGTTGTACTGGAGTGTCTAACTTTAAGTCATTCAGTCAGTCAGTCAGTCAAGTCATTCAGTCCATCAAGTCAGTAAGTCAAGTCATTCAGTCAGTCAAGTCATTTAGTCAAGTCAGTCAAGTCGGTAAGTCAGTCAAGTCATTCAGTAAGTCAGTCAAGTCATTCTGTAAGTCAGTCAATTCATTCAGTCAGTAAGTCAGTCAGTCAAGTCAGTAAATCAATCAAGTCATTCAGTCAGTTAACCCTTTGACTGTCGCAACCGCAAATCCTGAGGTGTCTCCTGGTGTCGAAAAATTAAAAAAAAAAAATCTTGTGAAATGATAGAGAATCTTTTCCCGATGGTGATGACATCAAAAGAATGAAATTTGATGGAAAACTTATGGAATTACACTCTTGTGAAGTTAGTGACCTCTGCTATATTTATGAATCGGCGATTTTGCCCACTTTGAGCCCTATTTTCAGTTAATTCTATTGTTCCAGTCAACCAAACTCATAGCTATTTCTTTAGAACTCCATTTGTTCTATCGATTGAGTACAAGAAACTGCCCATTCTCCAATTTTAACTACCCAATAACGTGGTCAGAAATTTGCAATATGGCCAATTTCACGCAAATTTAAAAATATGCCAATTTCAAAATAGGGTCCAGAATGAACACTGCAGACATTCTTGGCTCTAAAATAACATTTTCTTTGTTCATCAGTTATGTATCCAGGCCTCTCTGATATTACTCTTACTTTCTATTTTGAATTTTTATTCAAACAAAAAATAGAAGATTTACTGTTATGCAGACTACTGCAATATTGTAAAAATTGTATAAATAATGTCAAACCATTCATGACTGCATATTAGAATGGCTAGTTGGACATTTATTGGACAACGGCATCACTTGTTTACTTTTGAACATCAGCAAAAATCAAACATTTCCCCTACTTTGAGCTCCATTTCAAGGTTCTTTTCATAGTAAAACCAATCAAAATCACCTCTATTTCTATAAAATGTTTTCCA